AAGTGATAATGTTCACAAAATTACTACATAAAGTCAATAAATAATGTCCACAAACATGTCGTCCTGCTCAAATTATTTTGAGAAAAGTTGGAAACCAAATTTAAAATTTTTAAAAAACTAATTCTAATTTAAAACGGAGTAGATATTTATGCTGTTTGAAATTGAATCATTTTAGTAAATATATATCAATTTTAATATTCAAATATTGTTATTTAACAGCTAAAAATATACTAAAATTTATGAAAGATTATTTATCTTTCAAAATTTATTTCTTCTCTCCCAAAAATTAAAAATTTATTAATAATTAAATAATATTTTAAAATAAAGAATATTTTTTGAAAAAAAATATACAAACATAGGTTTGAGCATTTTTTAACTGATCGAAAAAAATAAAAAATCATTCCCATATAAATCACGTGCATGTGTAATATTAAAAATTTTAATTTAGAATTGATAAAAAAAAAACTAATAAAAAATCTAATTTTAAATAAAAATAATTAAAAAATTTCTAATCTAAAATCAAAAGTTAAAAGAATAATTATCAAATGACTTAAAATTTAAATAGGTTAGAACTATTTAACTCAAAATGATTAAAGACAGCTGATAACAATTGTCTTTCTTTTTATGGGTAAAAGTCCCCTTATTTTAAAAAATAAAAATAAAAATTAATTAATCACTTTGTTTTAAAAATATAATTAGTTAATATTTTAATTAGTATTGACTTTGTTTAATTTAATATTATTTTATTTTAAAAATGTTTTTTTTTTCATATTTTTTATTTTTTAAAATAAAAAATCAAAATAAATCGAAAAAATGAAAAGATTAAAGTTATAAGAAATTTTAAAAAATATAGAGACAATGGTATTTTTTTTTTTTAAAAAAAAGACTAATTAATGTATGTTGCAGAAATAAAATAAAACAAATTTACAATTCACTCTTCTTTTTATCTTCAGACATGCTTTTATAAAGTTTTGACTTAATAAAATCAAATACAAGCAAGCATATCTATCTTCAATCAAACTTCTGCACTTACTCACTTGCAATTTCTTCGCTTTTCCTTTCACCATTTTCTTATTCACACTCGCATTCGCACCCCTTTGCAAACAATCACAATGGAGGCTGTAGCGGCTGCGATTGGATCAGCATTTCTCAACAGCGCTGTTGATCTTTTGGTGCAGAAGTTGGATTCTCCCCTGGTTCTGGATTTCTTCAAACGCCGAAAGCTCGACAACGGACTGATGGAAAACTTGGCAGAAACATTGAATTCTATCAATGGCCTGGTCACTGATGCTGAGGAGAAGGAGATTACTGTGGCAGCTGTGAAGAACTGGCTTGATGTTGTTAAAGTTGCTGTCTATGACGCTGAAGACTTGTTGGATGAGATTGATTATGAAGCTCAGCGATCTGAACTGGAAGCTGACGGTCCTCAAACCAGCACAGATCTGGTGCGAAACTTTTTCTCGTTGCTTAAAGTTCCATCTAACAAAGAAAAGGAAGAGATGGTAGAAAACTTGGAAAAGATCTTTCAGAGACTTGAATGGTTAGAGAAAAAAGCTCGTAGTCTCCCTCTGATAAGGCGTGTCGGAGAAAGACCAACATCACAGTCTGTGCCAACAACTTCTCGATTTGGTGGTTCTCAAGTTTTTGGCAGGGAAGATGCTCTGAGGGCCATAATTAACTCGCTGCTGTCGGATGGTGCACAAGGCAAAAGCTTAGAAGTGATTCCCATAGTGGGAATGGGTGGGATTGGTAAAACCACTCTTGCTAAGTTTGTCTACAATGAGAGTGTGGTGCAAAATTGGTTTGACCTGAAAGCATGGGTCTATGTTTCACAAGATTTTGATGTTCTCAAGCTCACAAAAGAGATTCTGAAGGAAGTTGGTTTGTCAGATTGTGATTCCATGACTGCCAATCAGCTTCACTGTGAGCTCGAAAAGAAATTGACGGGCAATAAATTGTTGCTTGTTTTAGATGATGTTTGGAGTGCTGATCAACGGAAATGGGACTTCTTACTCACGCCAATGAAGTCTGGGCTGCAAGGAAGTAAGATAGTCATTACGACCCGCGACCAAAGTGTAGCATCAGTCTTGCCAAGTGTTTCGCCTCATCATTTGCGGGAAATTAGTGATGAAGATTGCTGGTCGTTGTTTTCAGAACATGCTTTTGGCAGTCAAAATTTCAATGTAATTTCACAGTTTGAAGAAATGTTTCGTCCAGAAATAGTGAGAAGGTGCAGAGGCTTGCCTTTAGCTGCGAGATCACTTGGGAGTCTCTTGAAATCTGAAAAAGATGTTGAGAAATGGAAGAAAATATTGAAGAGCGATCTGTGGGATCTGCGAAATGACCAAATTCTTCCGGCTTTGCGAGTGAGCTATTATTATTTGCCGTCACATTTGAAACGATGTTTTGCATACACTGCAATTCTTCCAAAAGGTTATTTGTTTTCAAAGATGGAAATTATCGTCTTTTGGATGGCTGAGGGTTTTTTAGTTCCTGTTGGCGGAAACAACGAGATGGTAGAAGCAGGATGCGAGTTTTTTGAAGATCTTGTGTCGAGGTTTTTTTTTGAGCAATCAGGTGATGGATCATCGAAATTCATTATGCATGACTGCACAAATGACTTGGCAAAATTTGTGTCAGGAGAGTTTTTCTTACACAAAAAATAAACCTAATGTATAAGGATAGACGGATCAATTAAACCTAAATTTATTTTAGAAGATTAATCGTTCCTATCTTGTGAGGAAAGCTCTGGCTCGTAATGTAGGGAGGAACTGCTTGAAAAAGTCTAGCATCCATCTTCATTAATATGTGCCTGCTGTGGAATTTTGAGTTGTCCCATTCACCTAGCTAGGAGATTCTCAATTCTTGTGGCCATGCATTAGCCATAACACAAAGTATGTCCTCGATGAAGCAAAAATTAGGATAATATGAAGGAGTGGAAGAGAAAACAAAAAGGGCCATTGAAAAGAAATAAGTAAATATAATCGATGTCTACTCATGTTTTCTCTTTTCTTTTGCTTTTTATGACAAGGCTTTTAACCTAAATCGATCTCCAATTTTTTTCTAATATTTGAATTTTTTAAATACTTGGTGCTGTGGTCTTCTAATTTAACTAAAATTTTGGGCTTTTCTTGTACAAAACAGAAAGGGAAAAAGTGGTGAAAGTTTTAAATTCTAGATTTAACGCCTATAATTAATACTCCTATCTCGTTGAATAGAAAACCAAAATGCTTATTTTTCATATAAAAAAATAATACGCAATTTATATTTATTACAAAATAATTGTTTTTCATCTCATCAAAAATTTGCAGAGATGTATTTTCTCAAAATATCTCCAATTAAAATTTATTTTATAAAAAAATTATTCAAATATAATTCTAAAAAAATATTTTTGAAAAATATGAAAAAAAATATTGATATGATGCGATAATTGATAACCTTGTTAATTTGTATGAAAAAAAAACATCTCTTTAAAACAAAAAACTAATAATAATAATAATAATAATAATAATAATAATAGTAAATTATAAATTAGTCTCTCTCCTTCTTTTGAGAAATGAATTAACTAGTTTCTTTTATTTCGAAAACTAATTTTTAGTCTTCATATTTTAAAATCTACTTATAAATTAATTTTTTTCAATTTATTTTGAATTTTTTATTTTAAAAAATAGAAAAAGAAAATAATATGGGAAGATTGATGAAAAAAATATATTTTATAAAATAAAAATAATATTAAATTAAATATAATCAATATTAATTAAATAATCAAATAATAATTTTTAAAATAAAAAAAGTCATTCAATCATTTCTTAAAACTAGAACGATTAATTTATAATTTATTCGAATAATAAAGTAAAAGCACAAGGAAAGGAAGTCAAAACTCAATAAAGAAAAACGTGAAAATCTGACCACAACAACAACCCTCTAAAGAGATATTATTGTAAGCCACAAATTCATGATGATTGACCATACAAACACATCAAAATAATGAGCAAACCAAAGTGACCCCACCGGACCCACACACCACCACCACCCAGCCAACCAAACGAAGAAGATGTGGATAAATCTAGGGCAAAAACAGCGATGGCCAAACATGGCATAAGCATATTGCATAGGACTGACAAATTTATAAGTAGAAAATAGCTTTATTTTCCACCTTGGCGTGGCCTTATATAAATACAGTACGCTTAATGCCTCTTTTTTGTTTTCCCCTCCATTCCCATCCCCCTTCGTTAAAAAATTTCTTCCCATATAAGTTTAAAATGTCATTAATCTCCGTTATCTCTTCCTCTCCATTCTCTTCTTTTTCAAATTAATTATTAAATTTTTTACTTGAAATAATTGTTTGATATGATATTAGAATTTTAATGATTATACGATTATGAGTTTGAACTTTTCTACCTTCAATTTTTCTCCAATTAAATTAAAAATTTTAGTACAAGGTAGCACGATTTTGTACTAATTTGAAATCTAATTTTTTTTTACTTAAGTAAGTGTATTAGATAGTTAATATAAAACTATTCTTAAGATTTATCCAATAGTTTAATTTTTTGATAGAGATGGTTTGTTCGCACTTTTTCAAATAGCTGCAAGATAAGTTTCTTTTTCATATTTGCAAGTCATTTTGTATAAAAAAACTTATAAACTAAAAAACAAAATTCTCAATGAAATGAAGAAATTTTTTATTATTTTCCTTTAGTTTTATTCTACCTATTGCCTAGTTTAAACATTTTTTTTTTTACCTCAATAGAACAAGAAATAGAGCCATTTTGCAGGGAACACCAAAAGCAAAAATGAGGGATACAGACTTGAAATAAAAGCGTACTCTACAAATCTTTAAATAATAATAATAATAAATAATAAAACTGGGCATCATAATTGAGACACTCATAAGTGAGAATAACAAACATATATATTATGCGTATGCATGGTCTTAATGCACTTTTCTTTTTTTAATCTTCAAATTCAACTAGGTATGAAAAGTGAAAGTACTTTTGTGGATGATAACATGGTCTTCAATAAGCGAAGAAATACAAGCATACAAGAGTCGATACAACAAGACCTATAACAAGACTCGTGATCCTATTACAACCGAAGAATCCATGCAAGATGAGGTTGCAACTAATGATGGTAAAGAATATACATTTAGAATAGAATAATAACGTATATACAAGCATCGATGTTTTCTTTTCTTAAAGGTAAATTTCAATTTCAACTAGGTATGAAAAGTGAAAGTACTTTTTTGGAAGATGACATGGCCTTCAATAAGCGAAGAAATACAAGCATACAAAAGTCGATACAACAAGACCTATAACAAGACTCACGATCCAAGCTACAATAAAAAAATCCATGAAAGATGGGATTGCAACTAATGATGGTAAAGAATATACATTTAGAATAGAATAATAATGTATATATAACATGTTTTCTTTTCTTATATGTAAATTTCAATGTCAATCGTGTATGAAAAATGAAAATACTTTTTTGGAAGATGACATGGCTTTCAATAAGCGAAGAAACACAAGATACAAAAGTCGATACAACAAGACCTACAACAAGACTCGCGATCTAGTTGCAACCAAAGAATCCATGAAAGATGAGGTTTCAACTAATAATGGTAAAGAATACACATTTATAATAGAATAATAATGTATATATAGCATCCATGTTTTGTTTTCTTATATGTAAATTTCAATTTCAATTAGGCATAAAAAGTGAAAATACTTTTTGGAAGATGACATGGCCTTCAATAAGCGAAGAAATACAGCATACAAGAGTCGATACAACAAGACTTATAACAAGACTCGTGATCCAAGCTTACAACCAAAGAATCCATGAAAGATGGAGTTGCAACTAATGATGGTAAAAAATATATATTTAGAATAGAATAGTAATGTGTATATAGCATCCATGTTTTGTTTTCTTATATGTAAATTTCAATTTCAATTAGGTATAAAAAGTGAAAATACTTTTTTGGAAGATGACATGGCCTTCAATAAGCGAAGAAATACAGCATACAAAAGTCGATACAACAAGACCTATAACAAGACTCACGATCCAAGCTTACAATAAAAAAATCCATGAAAGATGGGATTGCAACTAATGATGGTAAAAAATATACATTTAGAATAGAATAATAATGTATATATAACATGTTTTCTTTTCTTATATGTAAATTTCAATGTCAATCGAGTATGAAAAATGAAAGTACTTTTTGGAAGATGACATGGCCTTCAATAAGCGAAGAAATACAGCATACAAAAGTCGATACAACAAGACTCACGATCCAAGCTTACAATCGAAAAATTCATGAAAGATGGGATTGCAACTAATAGTGGTAAAGAATATACATTTAGAATAGAATAATAATGTATATATAGCATCTATGTTTTCTTTTCTTATATATAAATTTCAATTTCAACTAGGTATGAAAAGTGAAAGTACTTTTTTGAAAGATAACATGATATTCAATAAGTGAAGAAATACAAGCATATAAAAATCGATACAATAAGACCTACTAACAAAACTCACGATCTAGTTACAACAAAAAAAACTAAGAATATATATATATCCTTAATTAATTTTCAATTTTAAATAGATAAAAAAAAGTGAAAGTATTTTTCTTTCTTTAAAAAAAAAAAGATGACATGATCTTCAATAAGTGATAGCGTAGAACATAGATTTAGACTAATTATTAATATTTGTGATTTGCAATTTGGACCAGATAAGAAGGCAATTGAAGGTACTTTCTCTGATGATGCTGATGTTATCAACGATTGGATTGATGAAAATGATGACCTCGCCGATACAACTATATTCTACTTATACCGTGATCTCTATCCTGGTAAAAAGATGAAATTGCTTTTCAACAATGCTGGAAGTAGAGCTGGTTTCTTACCTCGAAAAATGGCTGAGTCCATACCATTTTCAAGTGACAGTGTGCCTAAAATTTTAGAGCACTTTTCACTAAAGACTGATTCAGCAGAAGCAGATACTATAACAAATACCATAGATGAGTGTGAGTACCCAAAAATGAAAGGGGAAGAAAAATATTGTCCTACATCTTTAGAATCCTTAATTGATTTCGTTGTTGCAAGGCTTGGCAGAAATGTTATGGTGCTTTCAACTCAATCCGGCAAGAAACAAGAATATACTGCTTTAACAGGAGGCAAAATGATCGGAGATAGAGCAGTGATATGCCACAAAGAGGTATATCCATATGCTGTGTATTATTGCCACGAAATCGAGGACACCAAGGCTTTTATGGTTCCATTGGTGGCTGCTGATGGTACTAGAGTTAAAGCAGTGACTATTTGCCATGAAGATACATCTACTTGGAGCCCAGAGCACGTGTCATTTGAACTTCTTAAAGTTAAACCTGGAGTGCCTATTTGTCACTTTCTCGCCAATGATACCCTTGTTTGGGTTAAAGCTAAAGATGCAGGATGGGACCTCATCACCCATCTAGCAATGCCTATCATTGATCAGTAATTAAGGTGTGGATTTAATGTAAAAAGTTGTATCATCTCCTCCAATTGACTTTTTATGACATCCTAAATAAGGAGGTAGTGTTAAGCGTATCTATTCCAGTTTGAAATCGGAGTGCTTGAATGATGTAATAAACTGTTTGTGTATTTTAGTTCAATAAAACTTTCGAGTCTTTCCTACTCAATTAAGTTTCTTAAATTCCTATGCTTGAATTTTTTGTGTTTTGTTGTCATTTGTGTAGGTATTTCCTTATAGCTCAACTAACATGCATGAGTATCCTTCTATTTTGTTTTGGATTTTATTTTTACCCTCCTCGAATAAGGAGACTTTGAAATAAAAATATTATATGAAGGTTAGAAGGCAGTCTACAGAGTAGTCTATCTCCCTATCCGACTTTAACTTAAATGGCTAAAATTGCTATATATGTGTGTGTGTGATAGCTAAATACTTTATGTGAGTATGGATGATTATCGTTTTTTTACTTGGATTCAAACCTAGTAAATGACTATTTGAGAGCCATAGAGCAGAAGAAAGAAAAGAGGTTAGTCAGAATTGAGGGTCCAGAGCCAAAAGATGAGAGGATCCTCATTCCTCATATTCGGACAGCCTTCCCCTACCCAGCTTATGTGATCAACCGGAATGAAGAGATAATAGACTTAAGGGCAGAAAATGAAGGTTTGTCCATCAACAATTATAAGCTGAGGAAGAAAGAAAAGTTGAAGAGATCATTTATCATGAGTCGGTGGTGGTCGTTCCCCAGATTATGATCCTTATGGGTTTCTGCTGATGCTTGTTGGGGATCTTTAGCCTGTTCGATGGTGTTGCTGATAACATGGTTTGTTCAAAATCTCCTAGCAATTCATGTTGTAAGTTTTCTATCAAAACTCGTCATGTATCATATTCAACAGCTAGCAACCTAGAGAATCTTGAGGGCATTGCTGAACTTCAAAATTTGCGCACCTTTTTACTCCCAACAGCTCCACAAAAGAAGCTTGCAAGCTATGATGAAAAGGCACTGGTCCTTCAACAGATCGGAATCATGCGTCGTTTTAAGGAAATAATAGAAAGAAGAAAGATTGACGTCTTGCAAAGGCTAACTAGCAAGACAATCTGTGCTTCCTTGTTTTCAAAATTCAAGCGTCTACGAGTGTTATCTTTGATTGCAACAGATCGATTGCCTGAGTCAATTGAAAACTTGAAACATCTGCGGTATCTAAACCTTTCTTCCGGATCCCTACAAATGCTGCCTGAAACTCTAGTTAAGTTGTACCATTTGCAGATATTAATATTGCATGGGTGCAAAAACCTTGTTAACTTACCAGCAAACAAGATGAAATTAATCAACTTGTACCATCTTGATCTTACGGGAACAAGGTTGCTAGGGATGCCACCACAAATTGGTAAGCTAAGAAAACTCCAATTGTTGACTGATTTTTTTGTGGGTACGCAGAATGGGTCCAGCATTAAGGAGTTAGGACAGCTCAAATGTCTGGGCGGGGCACTTCGTATCTGGAACCTTCAAAATGTTGTTGATGCTCAAGATGCTTTAGAAGCAAATTTGGAGGGCAAGAAGGACCTCAAGGGATTGGAGTTGACATGGAGTGGTGATATTGATGATTCAATGCACCAGCGCAGTGTACTTGAGCGATTAAAGCCTTGTACCAACTTGGAAAGTCTTGCTATTATTGGTTATGGAGGTACAAAATTTCCAGATTGGGTTGGACACTCTTCTTTCTCAAATATAGTGGCTCTGAAGCTTTATAAATGTAAATATTGCTATTCCTTGCCACCGCTTGGACAGTTAGCATCTCTAAACAAGCTCTGGATTGAAGAATTCGATGCAGTCATAGTTGTTGATTCTGAGTTCTATGGAAATTGCACTTCCACAAAGAATCCATTCGAATCCCTGAAAAGCTTGACTTTTTTAAGGATGCCGCAATGGTACGAATGGATTCCTTATCCTGATAACAATGATGGCAGAGCTTTTCCACGCCTCCAAAGCCTTTGGATCGAAGACTGTCCCAACCTAACAGCCCTGCCCGCCCATCTTCCGTCCCTAGAACTCAACATTTTTTATTGTCCGCAGCTTGGACAGTGACTTTCAAAGTATCCAACCTTTCAGAAGATGAAGTTGAAGAGTGGCTAGCACATAAAGGTATGTTTCTTCAAGTCCTGAGAAAGTTGGATTCAGAAGTATGGACTTGTCAAGTGTTGCATTTGTTGTTTTGTTTTGGAAATTGAAAAGTTTGGGTTGCAATATAAAAATATTGTAACAAATGAATTTAGCAGAGAACTTTTCTTTTTTCAATATGATGTTTCAAATATCTGTTCGTGCTTTCTCATAGTTTTGTGATTGTTCTGTTTGCAGGAGTAAAATTGCAGAGACGGATCAGGCATAAAAGGATGAAAGTCAGGATCAAGGTGTAGTGAAGTGGATGGAAAGATGAACAGAGAAATAAGAATTTTAGATTCCAGTACTGCTGTTTTCTGAAGATCATAGAACCACAACTTTTTTTCATATTTACATTTCTCATAACAAATTGTTGCTATTAAGCTTTCCAATTTTTCTTATTGGTGATTTCGGAATGAATCCTCTGCTTCGTTGAGGCCAATTGATCTTCCAATTCACCTCATCTCTATCTTGTTACCATTTTATTTTATTTCTAATTTGTCGAGGCCAATCAAGTTGCAGATTGCAGTGGAGAGTTTCTATTATATATTTTCTTGATAGAATTGAATTGAGCCTCTCCAGATATTAGACTCGCTGAGCCTCCACAGGTTTGCACAGATTGGGGTCAGTTTAGTCTGATATATTTGCACAGATTTCTGTCAATTGAGCAATGCATGAGTTATGTTGAAATCAGAAATTGCTGGCAGGGGAGCTGCGATGTGCCAAAATTGGTTTACATTAATTTTAGCAGATGAACTTTCATTTGTCAAAATGTTTCAAATAATAAGTGATTGGGGAATTGAAATTTTGAATATGTGCTTATATTTTCTCATAAACAAACAGGAAAGTTGATCTCCATGATTTTTCTGGAATTCCTGAGAGGTGGCATTTTTTGAAAACCTATCGGCCTTTATCCAACAAAATTTCCAACCAAAAACAATGAATTAGACATGGGCTGAGCCCAAAGCTTAATCTGATATCTTAAAAATAAATAAATGGCTATGATTTGATTTAATTGGTGAACATTTACTTAATAAAACACTAAAATTAAACAATTATGTGTTAATACTTACCTTGAATTCATACTTTTAACTTCATGATATAATTTTTTTGTAAAGTTAAAGTTAAGAAAGCTCTTGAACAAGACAAGAAGAAACCCCCTTTTCTTTTTATTTCTTGTTCGTTTTAATTTCTTTTTTCTTTTTTCTTTTCTTTTTTAATTTCTATCACAAAGTTAAAATTGTATATTAAAGGTAAGTAGTGATATAACATAGCTTAATTTTAGCATTTTATTAAATAAATATTTTTTTAAAAAAAAACTAGAGTAATTGTTGTTCACTTATTGTCATTCCACACCTATGGTCCCTGTTCACTTAATTTTAGGATGTCCCCCATTGTTTTTTTTTTTTTTTTCATTTTCTTAATTGCTTCTGTTACGTTTTTCAACTTATTTAACTACCAGGCTAAAATTTCTCTTACTGAAACACATTTCTCACATGTAGTTATAAAATATCAAGTCGTATAAATATGTGTTTGTAAGTGTGTTGTATAAGTTTTTTTTTTTTGGAAGAAAATAAAATATTAAGTAAGTTAAAAGTAAAACAAAGTATAATCTTTTTATATCATCTTGTTGACTTGATGATTGAAAAAATGATATCAAAATTAATTTTTTAATAATTTTTATCAAGTATAGCTTGCGAAAGACAACATCACATGCATGATGTCTGGCATGATGTCTTTTTATATCATCTTTTTTAATAATTTAAGCAGCACTGCGGAAGTAACAGAAAAACTGCAGTCTGGCATGATGTCTTGCAAACAACTATATAAAATGCTTAAAGCAACTGCATTTATCATGGTAATTGCCTGTATTTAAGTGGCTGGAATACTACCAGAAGAGACTTAAATTGGAACATCTGATGGGCTGCTTGAAGAGCAGCACAGACTTCTTTTGGATAGGGAGCATAATCATCGTATGCATGGCCAATCATCTGATAACATCTAGAGATGCCCATGAAATTGTTTAAGTGTGACTTCAAACGATCAATTGATTCATACACTGGTATTTGATCAATGTCCAAGTTATCAATGTGGCAATAACCTGCAAATTGATTTATGATTGAAATAAATTGCAATTCCATAAGTTGTTACCTTGTAGCTGTTAGCACATAGATCTGAACTTGGAATTGACACATTGCTTGAATAGTCCAATTCAGTTTCACATTTTATATGATCCAGCATGGATTCTGCACCTTCAATGTAGCCTCCTTTCCAGAGAAATAGGTCAAAGAGAGTAGAATTTGCATAATTTTGCACATTCTTCATTAGAATCTTTCATTGACTCCTGCCAATATGTTTAAAATTGCAGTACTGCAGATCTATATTGAAACTATATTAACAATACTGTAGATCTATTAGTCAACAAAAGAAGTTTTCAACTCTTTTTGCTATATATATATAATTAAATCTTTTCGTTTTATGAACCAATCTGATACTACATTAGATGTATACGAAAAACATGTGGAGCTATAAAATAATATATATTTTGTGTTTAGAATCTTCAGAACATGTATTGGTATTTTAATAACTCTACATGTCACTCATGTGGTTTAAGATTTTGCAAGATAGAAAAACTTTATTGTCGATCAAAAGAAAGGTTGAGGACTCAAAGTAGGGAGCTTTTTTTTTTTTTTTTTTTGAAGAGAAACTGGTAGTAATAGAAAAAAAAACACTCATAACTAAAAGACCAAAATATTAATTTGAAAGGCCAAAATAACTTTTTTAAAAATGATAAAGACTAAAATAAAATATTTTGACAAAATATTCTTAATGGATATTAAATAAACAAATAAATTAGATATGAACAGGATAAAAACTTATGATGTGATATCCTAATGTATATGAATAAAGTATTCTTTTAATAATAGGATAAAAAATAAATTAATGGACCAAGTTACTGTTTATTGCCATCTTTAGAGGTGATAATCCAAGGAAGCAACAAACCTCTTCTCTTTCAATGAAAAATCAATACGTATAAATTAAATGTCGACCCAATTTGTAACTCTCGGCCTCTCGCGATTCTATAATGAAACTCGAGAATCGAGAGGGAAAATACCTCATGGGCAAATCCTAAATTTAGACTTGGGCTGCAACAGATTGAAAACCTTTTGAGCTCCATGGATGGACAACATGTAAAAGTTAGACTTGGGCTAAGCCCAATCTAGGAGATAAGGCTTCCTTTTATTTCCTTTATCCAACCAAATTTCTAACCAAAAACAATGGATTAGACATCGGCTAAGCCCAGAGTTTAATCTGAGCTCTTAAAATAAATAAATGGCTGTGATTTGATTTAATTGGTGGACTTTTACTTAATAAAACACTAAAATTAAACAATTATGTGTTAATACTTACCTTTAATTCATACTTTTAACTTTTTGATATAATTTTTTTTAAGTTAAAGTTAAGAAAGCTCATTTTTTTCATATTTGTTTTAATATATCTTTCTTTCTTTCTTTTCTTTTCTTTTTTTTTGAAATTTCTATTACAAAGTTAAAATTGTGTATTAAAGGTAAGTAGTGATATAAAATAGCTTAAATTTAGTATTTTATTAAGTCTATATTAACTAGTAAATCTTAACGTCTAAACTCATAATTTTGCCTCCTATTTTATCTTCAATCCATCAATTTAGCCCATTTGTTATGAATTGAGTCACTTGAACCCCGTAATGTATTATGTATACAATTGCAATCAAATATGACCAATTGAGCCAATTAGTAAGATTTTAAAGGTTGGATGCATATTTGTTAAGGAATATATAGGTTGGGGATTATTTGCTTGATCTTTGAAGTAAGAAAATAAAAGGTCTGAATAGAATTTTTTATTTATTATTATTAACAAATAAAGTATCCACTATGCCTTCATTTTTTTTTTAATTTGAGGATGATGATATCCTTGAAATCCTTGAATTAGTTTGTGCATTAATCGAAACTAAATTTATCTTAAAACTATTTGAAATGGCACAACTCCTGTATTGGTTTGGTACATTCAGAACAATTTAATTAATTCTCTTAAATCCTAGCCCTAAGGTTTAATTAAAAAAAAAAAAAATAGAGCAAACCTTTTTAACAACTAGGCCAAAACTTCTCTTATTTAAACACATTTCTTACATATAGTTACAAAATATCACGTCGTGTGTGTATATATGTGAGTGTGTTATATGAGTTTATTTTGAAGAAAATAAAATATTGGGTAAGTTAATAGTAAAACAAAGTATGATTTTCTTATGTCATTTTGTTGACTTGATGGTTGGAAGAATGATTTCAAAAATTAATTTTTAATAATTTTCATCAAGTATAGCTTGCGAAAGACAACATCACAATTTTTTTTTAAAAAAAAAATCTTTTCACATTAAATAAGTCAATATTCATGCAACATATGGATAAATATGTTTAATTGCAAAAATAAGGAGGGAAAAAAAAAGAAAAAAAAAGAAGATGATCAAGTAAATAGTTTCTAGTCTATATGCTCATTAAAATTGTTGATGATATGCCCACAGGACAATATGCAAAAGATTGAAATATCTTAATAAAAATAAAAAACAAAATTCTAAATTGCCATTTCTTTCTCTATCTTTATACATAGAAATAAATAATTAATTTCATCAATCAATTGTTTTTTTTTTTTTTGCTTTCTCTCAAATTTTGAAAAACAAATTATAAAATGTTTCTCTTTTTCTCTGCTTTTTGCTTTTGTTCTTATGTTATGAAAAAAATTTCATATTTTTTTTTTTAGTTTGGATTTAAAATAAATTTTCATAATAAATTTCTAAAATAAATAGAAAAAAATTTGCTTCTGTTCTTTCCTATACATAAAAAAATTTCTTTTTTGGTTTGAATTTGAGAGAAAGCAAAAAAAAAAAAAAAAATTGAGGGATGAAATTAATTAATTGTTTATTTCTATACATAAATGTAGAGAAAAAAGGGGGTATTTTGGATTTGTTTCAGATTTTTTTAATGCTATGTGTCAACGTTTTGTGAATATGTCATAAAAAAATTATTGCAATTACTAAAAATTTTGGTCAAATAGATGAAATTAAGATGTAAATTAAGAGTAAAAGAATATAAATATTAAAAAAATTAATAAAAAGACATGACTAGGACAAATAAAACAGTAAAATGATGTTCTAGACCTTTGATGCTTCAAGTATCGGGAGAGTTGAGTGAATAAGTGTGTGTTGTGAGAGTGAAGTGAGCAAGTGAGTGGAAAATAAAAACAAGAGTGAGATGTATATATATAAATAAAAAAATAAATTTTGTGTTCTCATAAAAGTGAATAAAAAGTTGCATGATAACTTTTCAAAAAAAAAAAAAAAACTCAAATTTTCAGCGGTCACGCTCAATTGTATTTTTGATCCGTCCAGTTGCATATGCCATGAATTGAAGACTTTTCTTTCATGAGCACAATAATTGAAGACTTTTCTATTATAAAAACAATAATTAAGGACTTTTCTTTCATGATTAAATAATTGAAAATTTTAAAATCAAACAGTGAAGACCAAAATTGAGGACTACAGAATAAATTTCCATACCTAAAAAAAAAAAAAGTTGGTTTGATGTATCTGTGTCCAATAAATGAATAAACAAAGACCTGGGCTATAGATGCCAGCTTTTCCAAGGATGCCACTGTCAATATTAAACAACGGAAACCCAAGAAACAATAAATTAGCAAGCCATGACAAGGTAGAGTTGGTTTGGAGCACAATAAACAAAGACCTTACCATGTGCAATACCACGACACATTAAACAAAGACTTTTTGAAATAGTTTGATGCAAGATAGTAGAGGAAACAATATATCAAGAGGATGCAGCAGATTAAGTGAAACAACTGACATGCAAGTTGCAATTCATTACGCTTTGTGTGGATACGTTAAGCACCTCCTAATGTAGAGTTCACATCCATAGCGTTACAGCATTGACCTTAATAAACAAAGGCCTTCGGAATTTTTGAATTGGTTTGATGCAAAATAGTAGAGGAAATAATATTTATGTATTAAGTGGAAGGTGGCAATATTTAAGTGAATATGAGGTAGAGTTGGTTTGATGCACCATAAAGAAAGACCTTAGACCTTGGTTGGGTGCCCGATAACATATTAAGTGGTAACTAAAAGGTTATTGGTACAACGATAATCTAATTGGGCTTATGCAAGATTCAAATTCTGAAATTGAAAAAATTATAGAATATAGTAATATTTTCTTATTTGGTATTATGTACAATACAAATATATATACTGATTTACAACATCAACACCCTAACAATAAACGAAAAAGGATCCTAGCAATAAAGGAAAATTATAAGATCTAATAATTAAACGATTCTTACCATATTATTACAATATATTTTCCTAAAGTATGAAATTATAATAATAACATCAATACTTCCCTTCAAATTGATGTATAAAGATTGAAAATGCTCAACTTGCTTGATAAATCCAGAAAGCAATCTCGACTAAGTGCTTTGGTGAAAATATTGATGAGTTGATGCCGAGAAGGAACGTAATAAAAGGAGAGTAGTTTTGATTGGATGTGTTAGCGAATGAAGTGGCGATCGATCTCTATGTGTTTGGTGCACTCATGAAACATTGGATTAGCAACAATATGAAGAGCAACCTAGTTGTCATAGAATAATGAAACCGAGATGAGGATAAGGGACACACAAATAAGAAAAAGACGAACAAGGCGGACTATCTCACTATCGGTGGTTGCTATGTTGTGATATTCGACTTCGGCTATGGAACGAGTGGTGTGATGTCGTCGTGTGCACCCAAATTAAACTCCTAAACTCCTATAACATAAATTAGTAAGGGAGAGTAGGGATCGATCCCACAAGGAATTCAATCGCGTTAGTCGTCACAAGTCTAGAAGAAACATGAAATAAATAAAAAAGGAGGGTTTTGATTTGATTGAGATGTAACCGAAACTAAACAAATTAAATCCAGAAAATGAGTTTAAACTAAATATTCAAGTAAACAAACTTTGGTTCGGGTCACATCCACTTTTGGAACTTGAGATTTATCCTTGGTGCAAGAAATATCGAGTTCCCTTTCAAATATTTATTGTGATATTGAAATCAATCTTTCCTTACGATTAGCCAATTAGAAACATATATTCTAATCAACCCTCATTATTTAACAATCCTAGATACTATCTAAGATTTAATCAAACAATGGCTTTATGTATTAAAAAGATCAACAAAGCAAGACAACACAACACATGTAGTAGCATTTAATCTAGTTGAACAATCCTCCTAAGAGTCATTAGTTTCGACGC